TATATATATTAAAACAATGTTTGCCAGTTGTAATTTTGAACAAAGGAGACAAACAAAAGGATGCACAATTTATTGGCTGGCATATTTTGCTATATCCCGTCAGGTACATACTACAGTAACTTTTAAATAAATTAAGCGAATAAGTGAATTCTTTTATAAATAATGTACACTTTCAACCACACTTAAAAGCTGGTGCCTGTTTTACCAGGGAAACCGTAATGTCAGAATCATGTATTTTTGTTTACAGAGTTCACAACGGTGGTAACGAATTGTGGCGGCTTCATGATGACTTCTATGTTCGCGCGCACACGCGCACACGCACACACGTATATATGCACTCACACACATAAACATTGTATACATTATTTATAACAAAATAAACACGACGCCGACAATAACAGTGACAAGTAACTGTATACCTCAACCCATTCGGTGGATCCAACTAGGCCATATTCTTCAGCGCCCCATGAGCAAAATACAATCGATCTGCGTGGTTTCCATGTTCCTGGTGTGTGAGAAACCGAAACAAGCAAACAAACCTTAATATCCGATGTTTACACGAACATAGAACCACACAATTGTGAAACAGGTTAAAGGGAAAAGAAGGGTGGTATCAATAAAAAACATCTGCCTCAAAAGTAATCCCTATGTACTCTAGTCTATGGCAGAGGTTCTCAAACTGTGTATGCCAGGGGTGCTGCGGCATAAATCAAGAATAGTCGGCAAAAAATTGTGACATTATTAAAGAAGGCATGAAGATACTTGAAAGTTTCAATTTAAGTTGTCTTTCCTCGCCACTGTCGAAAAGACTTTATTCCTTGTTTCACACTCAGCGTGCATCATACTGCATAAAATGCCAACCACAGCGTGCTAAAAATAGTATTTGTAGGTGCAGCGGATAAGGAAGGTTGTGATTACATTGTGGCTGAAATTTTAAAGTGGAAAATATGGTCTGTACAATATTACCTGTTAGCCTCGTCAAGTAAACACTTATATTTAAGGGCAATGCGTTTTGAGTTCTGGACAATTGGTAGGCAGGCCAAACAATTTCTTGAGGCCTCAGAGATGTCGTTTTACAGAACAATGCTCAAAATACCCCGGACAACAACAAAAAAGCAGCCAAGAGGTTTTGAAAGAGGCGGGAGCCCGAAGGCAACTTATCACAGACTTCAGAAGAAAAAAATCATCATTTTTCGGCCATGTTATGAGAAGAGGAAAAATGGAACATGTGATGACCAATGGAAAGATCTGTGGAAGGAAGGATAGAGGAAGACAACGAAAGAAGATTCTTGACAGTCTTGTTGCACGTCATGATGGAGGTGTGTCAGCACACGAACTAATACATGCTGTAGGAGATCGCAGATTGTGGCGAGGCATAATCGCCCACGCTAGTCGGCAAGGTACTTGATGATGATGATACACTATTCGTATTCGGCGGAATAGTTAGTCCCACTATTCGTATTCGGCTGAATAGTGAAAATCACTATTCGGTACAGCCCTTCTATATATATATATATATATATATATATATATATATATATATATATATATATATATATATATATATATATATATATATGACTATTTGGCTATTTGGATATCTTATTTGGCTAAACCTGACTACGCGGTGACCGGGTGACGAACTTCTTGTGGTTCGGGTACACGCCTGGGAGTAGGCAGAAAAGCCACATTTTTCCTAGATTTACAGTATCTATTAAGTAATCAAGGCCGAAGGGTTGCGATATCCATAGTACCGAGACAATGGGTTAACAACTCCTAGTTTATGAATAATTCCGCCACTCATTCATTTATGTTTTCATTTTTTTTTCATCGATTCACAAATGTAACAATTATAAATACCCTTCTTGATTTCGCTGTCAACGAAGTTGTAGGATGCATGTCAGTTAATTGTAAACTTACATACGAGTATGTATACAGCTGCAAACACTTATAAGTGACATCACAAATTAAAATCTGCTGTTTGGTTTTACTAGATAATTTTACTTTCAGTAGCTTTCCAGTCTCAATGGTATGAGTTCATACCGTTGTTCAAATCCGTTGACCAAACAACCTTCAGTTGACTTTAGACCCCAACATGAAGCGATTGTGAAACTGCTTTCACAACCAATGAGCTACACATGTTCGCGTAAGTAAGTGAATGAGCTAGTATGTTTGTGTGTGTGTATGTGTGTGTGTGTGTGTGTGTGTGTGTGTGTAAATATACTGTCAAGGTATAAAGGGCAAGTTCACAAGCCTTCACTGTTCAGACATTCATTCCAAGCCCAACAACATATGTTTGTGGTTGTGGGAGAGAGGAAAAGACATTTTCACTGTGTAAGTGACGTTTAACGCCACCAGGACCGCACATCGAGGAGCGATCAACATCCGCTGTCACAAAGTGCCACTATTTAGACGAGAATCACCCGACTACACATCCCAGAAACCCCGTTTAACCGTTCAGTTATATTAGGGCACCCAACAACAACCGGGGTGGGGCTTTACAACAACAACAAATTGCGTCCCAAATTGGGGCAAAGTTAATTATTATGTAAAATCTACCCGACTTGACAAGGTCTCCTATGACACGAGCCAGTTCCATCATAACAGCTGTAGCACTGGATGGATCGATGGCACCATAAATCCACGCATCGCGGTGGTTTCCAATGAGGATGTAACGATCTGTCAGGAGAAAGAAGAAAGTATGTAAGGATCGTTTGACGATAACAGTGACATGCAGACAAACTTTTATTTATGCATCACTTACAACTAGGATTGTATCGAATATTCGCTTCGTATTCGCTTCCGAGACGAATAGTGGACCTAAGAACTATTTGGTATTCGGCCGAACACTTGCGGTCGGGCCGAATACGAATAGTGGTTACCTTACACCCGTTTCTGCACTGGTGGAAAATAAACATGTCAAGATATCCCACCTTGGTTCATACTGTCAAGCGTTATCTTTGTGCATCACCTATGAGCGTACCAAGTGAACGTCTGCTTAGTACAGTTGGAAATACCTTCATTAAGCTGCCTTAATGCTGACAACATGGAACTATTTTTTTTTTTTTTTTTGAAAGCTAATGCTGCCTTCATGCATTAACTAAGCTGTCATTGACAATTTACAGGTTTCGTTACTTGTTATAAAACTGAATACTTTCATTCCAAGGCATTATTTGTCACAGACTGACTGACATAGGGATGCAAAATATAAAATGTTTTTAAATGTTTCCTATTCTGTACTACATTTAGTGAAGTAAAACTTCAATGTACATTTGACATTATGAAAGTTTTTTTAGATCTATTTTATACACTATACACAATTCGAAAGTGGAAGAATGGGCCTCAGTTTGAATAGTGGGAAGACAGAAGTAATGGTGGTATCAAAGAAAATAATTATTCATAAATGTGAAATAAAAGTCAATGGTGTTAATTTGGGTGAAGTACAGACATTTAAATATCTGGGCACATGGATAACATCAGATGGAAGATGCATTACTGAAATAAGAAACAGAATAGGACAGGTAAAAACAGCATTTTATAGAATGACGAAAATCTTTTGCAATATATCCTTGTCATTGAGAGTTAGAAAAAGAATTCTTGCTTGCTACATACATCCAGTTTTAACATATGGCTGTGAGTCCTGGACAATCGGTAGGCAGGCCAAACAATTTCTTGAGGCCTCAGAGATGTGGTTTTACAGAATAAGGCTCAAAATACCTTGGACAGCCAAAAAAAGCAACCAAGAGGTTTTGGAAGAGGCGGGAGCCGGAAGAAAACTTATCACAGACATCACAAGGAGGCAGTCATCATTTTTATGAGAAGAGGGTAAATGGAACATGTGGTGACCACTGGAAAGATCTATGGAAGGAGGGATAGAGGAAGACAGCGAGAGAAGATTCTTGACAGTCTTGTTGCATGGCATGGAGGTGTGTCAGCACATGAACTAATACATGCTACAGGAGATCGCAGATTATGGCAAGGCATAATCTCCCACGCTAGTCGACAAGACACCTGATGAAGATGATACACTATTCCTATCGTATTCGGCCGAATAGTTGGTCTCGTTATTCGTATTCGGCCGAATAGTGAAAATCACTATTCGGCACAGCTCTACTTAAAACGGAAAGCATTATAATATGATACACATATAGACACACACATACACACACACACACACGCACACACACACATAGAGAGAAGGAGAGAGAGAGAGAGAGAGAAACACACATAACACACACAAAACTCCTCCCCAACCCATATATGAGTTACAATAAGTTACGCTGTGAAAGCATAACAAACACATGAGTGTCTGTGTGTATAATATATATATATGTAAGTGTTTGGGTATATATAAGTGTGTGGGTGTATATATACTGTAGAGAGTCTGTGTGTTTAAAAGTAAACACGAAAAGAGGATGAAGATGAGGAGAGTGAGAAAGATAAGAAGCAGGAGGAGGGAATGAGTTCAGAGAATCGCATCTCACCTGGCTCTACCGTTCCTTTGATAATTCCAAACACATTCTCTACCTTCGCCCTCTCATTTCTTGTAGTAACGTTGAGCTGAATCTTCCTGTATCGGTCAGAGCAAACAACGATACTTATGTGTGGGTGTGAAAATATATAGTTAAAGGTTTACGTCAAGATTATCGACTTTATTGCACCGGGTTTTATCATAAATGACTCGGTCTCTCTCCGCAGAACGGCTAGCCGCCGACCGAGAGCGAAGCACAGAGCACGAACTCCTTTGATCCGGCAATAATCTCAGGGATCTCCGTAAAAATTAAAGCCGTGAAGCGAACTCCCGATCTTAAGAACGCGAGGAAAGTGGCTTGACCACTTCGCCACAGAGACCCCCCGGGTATGACTATATGCTCTATGTGTGTGTATGAATGTATATTCGTGTACATGAATACGTGCATTTGTGTGCGGGTGTGTCTAAAAAGCACTGCTGGTTTACATGGCGAATTCCGTCAACACACATGTATAATATATATGATGAGTAGGACTAAATAAGTCAACAGTACAGGTGCATTGTTCTAGACCTATACTTTATAGCTACTACTCCTGTGGTAGTTTCTGAGTCGTCAGGGAACGACGGGCTGGGTGAACCCCACTCGCCCTGAGAGGCCCATGACGTCGACTGCGGAGGAGCACATTTGATGATTTCTGAAGAAGTGCGTTCCAGAATCAGTTTTCCACCTGCGAGCGAGAAGGTGGTGTGATGTAAGTTGGAGGCTACATTATGTGAGGAACTTAAACATGATTTAAACAAGAAGTCGTTAGGCAATAAGCTTACAAAATTTGGTGATGTTACATATGAACACTGCTCCCGCGAGTTCGGGACAGTGCAGAAGGCACAGCCGCGTGCCAAGCAGAATACTAGCAGGAGGCAGAGGGACATTCTGAAGTGTCGGGCAGACAAGAATGCCCTCAGAAAACGGTTCAAAGCCGCTACAGGTAGCGAACGGGAGGGGCTGTACGAAGTTTGGTTGCATTTAAAGAACAAACACAGTGCCCTCTGTCGCGCCGAGCATTTCTGTAACAACAGACGGAGAACCAAAAGGGAGCGAGAGAAATTCTTTAGGGACCCGTATCAGTTTGCCCGAGGTCTATTCGAGCAACCGAAGTCTGGGACTCTGGTTGTCAGTCAGGAAGAACTTGAGTTACATCTACGCAAGATGTACTCTGACAAAAAGAGGAGAGAGCCTCTCGATGACAATCCAGAGATCCTTAGCGGCCTCAAACAGCCTTCGGTGCCAAAGGTACCATTTAAAATGGTACCTCCCCTTTGGTCTGAGGTTGAGGAAGTTGTTAAAAAGGCCAGCGGCAAGCGCTGCCCGAAAATCCTAAAAATGCTTCACGTCTTGTTGAGACAAGCGTGGATCCGTAATCACATATGTCCAGAGTGGTCAAAGGCAAATGGGGTCTACATTCCCAAAGAGCAGGACTCGAAGAGTCTTTCCCAATTCAGGCACATCTCGCTGTTGAATGCCGAGGGTAAGATATTCTTCTCGGTCATGGCTCGCCGGCTCACACAGTATCTGATGGCTAACAAGTACATAGATACGAGTGTTCAGAAGGGTGGTATTCCAGGCGTTCATGGGTGCCTTGAACACGCGACCATGATTTGGGAGGCTATCCAGAGAGCCAAGCATGAGAGAACCGAATTGCACGTTATATGGTTGGACTTAGCCAACGCCTACGGGGCAGTCCCCCATAGGCTACTGTGGCGAGCCCTTCGCATGTTCCACGTACCAGCACAGATCAATCAAATGATCGAGCAATATTTCTCTAAGTTCGCTTTGCGCTTCTCTACCTCGACGTTTACCACGAGGTGGACTGAGTTGCAGATTGGGATAGCTATGGGCTGTACGATCTCACCCATACTGTTTGTCATGGCAATGCAGATCATGTTAGACGGGGCGGCCGGCTACGGACAGGGCCTTCAAATAGGGGATCACTGGTTGCCGCCACTTCGCGCATTTATGGATGACACGACTATAATAACGGGCAGCGAGGAGTCTGCCCGCACGATCCTGAAACGATTGGACGCGGTGGTCCAATGGAGCGGTATGCAGTTCACATCGCAGAAGTCGAGGAGTCTGTCAATCCTTAAGGGCAGGGTGTCGGCAACCAGTTTTACGGTGGCAAGGAACAAGATCCCTACGGTTCTGGATGAACCGGTGAAAAGTCTCGGTCGCGTTTACGATTCGAAGTTATCTGATAGAGCGGAAGTCCGACGAATACACGAGTCACTGGCTACAGGCCTGCTCGCGATCGAGCGTTGCAGGCTGGTGGGAAAAATCAAGGTATGGTGTCTCCAATTCATGTTGATTCCAAAGCTCCTATGGCCACTGTTAGTCTACGAGGTGACGATGACTGCAGTGGAAACCATGGAGAAGAAAATCAACACAGCCTTGAGAAAGTGGATTGGTGCACCGCCTTGTCTGACTGACGTGGCTCTGTATTGCAAGCAGGCTAAGTTGGTACTTCCGTTCAAATCAATAACCAAAGAGTTTAAAGTCGGCAAGGTAAGGCTCGCCATGCTCTTGCGCGAGTCTTAAGACCCAAATGTCATCGCTGTCCAGCCCGCTCTAAAGACTGGCCAGAAGTGGAGAGTCCTCGATGCGATAGAATCTGCCCAGAATGCACTGAAATTGAAAGAGATAATGGAATACACTCAAACCGACTGTCGAGGCCTAGGGCACGGGAAGGTCAATTGGTGGTCAAAGCCCTCAGTCAAAGAGCGCCGAGACATGGTAATACAAACGGTGAGGGACAACGAAAACGAGGTTCGGGTCCAGAAAGCAGCCCAGCAGTCGCAGCAGGGCCATTGGGTCAGTCTGGAGAGCGCATAGCCAAGAGTACTCACATGGAGTAAGATCTGGCGGATGACCCCGCTGCGACTGAGCTTTATCGTTCGTTCGGTGTACGATGTATTACCGTCCAGTGTTAACATGGTTAAATGGTCTGCAACCAACGATCCGACTTGCCCGTTGTGTAAATCGAAGCAAACTCTTGAGCACGTCCTGTCCGCGTGCAGGAAAGCCCTAGGTCAAGGCCGATATACCTGGCGACACAACAAGGTGCTAAAAAAGTTAGCAGCCGTTGTCGACCAGGCTAGAATGAGGGCTAACGCCAGAGCCAGTTCTAGTATCGTCCCCATTCGTTTCCTCAAGGCTGGGCAGGTTCCAAAAGGTAAGGTCAACCAAAACGCATTCGCTCCATCTGTGCTAGACTCTGCGAGGGACTGGTTACTGGCGGTTGATCTGCCGGGCCATGAAAGGTACCCCGAGTTGATCCGGAAGACCGGCCTGCGACCGGACATAGTTCTCCACTCTGCGCAAAAACGGCAGCTCATCCTGATTGAGCTGACTGTCCCATATGAGTCGCGTATGGAGGAGAATCACATGTATAAGCTCAAGAAATACAGTGATTTAGCAGCCGGTCTGAGGAGAAACGAGGCGTACACAGTAGGGGTCTTTGCCGTCGAAGTGGGAGCGAGAGGCCTCGTTTCCACTTCGCTCTACAATGTGGTTAAAGAACTAGGATTGCGCGGTAATGAACGGAAATGAACACTCAAAAAACTGGGAGAGGTAGCCGAAAGGGCCTCTAGCTGGCTTTAGACGCAACGCAACAACGTAGGGGACGGGCCTCGGTGAGCTGGTCCGGGTCTCTAGTGGAAAAGGGTTTCTCACCCTTTGAAAGTCCATCGTGTCCGAATTGTCTGCCAGTTTTCCTCTGCCACCTGCTAAAAAAAGTCCAACATGTGTCCGGTAAACCAATCGTAAGCTTGTCGCTCGGTCGTCCAGGCACGCTGACTGTTCTAATTAGGCTGCCGCGACGACGTCTTATCTCACAGTACCTTCTGCGAAACCACCAAGTCGTCTTGTCTCTGGCCGAAAGAAAAACACCATCCGGTAATTTCGTGCAGCAGGGAACCAGCCCTGAGCTTCATGAACTCAGGTGGGCCCACCTCCGAAAGCGTCTAGGAATAGTGGGCCGAAACGCTCGTTGACGAGGATAATTTCTACTGACGACTGGTAGATCCCTGCTGTACTTGCTCCCTGTGAGTTTATTCCTATCCCTATATAGCAATTGGTGAGTGATGTGGTCAGCATTACGCCGACTGTACGCAGGACTGTACCTGGTACCCACTCTAGGCTAGGTCAACCTGGGAGCCAAGTGGTCATTTTTGTTTCTTGAAAAAAGTCCTGATGTGTCAGGACTCAACCCACAACCTACTGATCCACATGGTAGCGACTAACCGCTACACCATGCCGGCTTCTTGTATGACTAAGTGGGTTTGTGTTTTTAAATGTGTGGGTGTGATTCTGTGTGTGTGTGTGTGTGTGAGAGAGAGAGAGAGAGAGAGAGAGAGAGAGAGAGAGAGAGAGAGAGAGAGAGAGAGACCATTGGTATTAGAACTTTGCAGTGGCGGTTGAAGTTAGAGACGGAGCGCGTATAGAAATGCCCCGAGTGCTGTGATGTCGGTTCTTGAAACAACTCAGTTCAACTCAACTCCGTTTTCGTTGCTGGCTGATATTATTCTGTTCTAAATAGATGACCAAGCCCTTCAATTCTTTTATTTTCTATGGAAAAATTTGCCAGTCCCTACCATTTTTCCTACTTATTCGCTTGTTACTGACTCTGTTGCTTTTCCAGCGCATTAGCAATAAGCCTGTAAACCAGGTGTTTTGATGAAACTATGTTATTTAATTATGGTAAATGATCAACCAACTGAAATCTCCATAAGAAATTGTTACTGCAATGAAGTGTTAACACCCTGACTCTCTTCTGTTTGTACACTCTCACTGACTGCTGTGTATTCATCTCTTGATCATGTTCACCAGTTTGCATCGCTATGAGCCCATTTATTGGTCGCCTGTTCTCAATGTTTCCCTTCACAATAGCTTTAAAAAAAAAACGTTTTGCATATTTTAATATGGCTAAGACTGTCGTTTCATACTCCGTCTTTTTTATGATCTCTGGACCTCCCCACCCCCACCCCCTCCCACCCCCCCCCCACCCCCTCCCACCCCCTCCCACCCCCCCCCCACCCCATGAAATACATATTATTTTGTAATTTTACTAAAAAATGTGTTTCGATTTCTATCAGCGAGCTATTTTTCATTATCTTGGTGTTACTAAAATTGCCTAGTTTGTGGAACTGATTTAGTAATTCTTGGAGATCCTGTAGTGTTGCAGTCAACAACATTTATTAATCACAGTGCATATGCAAGCAATTCATTGACTTGTACACAGAGCAAAACGTTTACACTAATGCTTTCCCCCTCACACTTAAGCCGATGTGGTCAATCGGATGTGACCGGAATCTCTCTTACTGTTTAGTTACAGACGAATCAACAAGCCAGTGTCATAATTAACATAGCACACAAACAGTACACAAGCTTACATTGCTGGCTCCAGAAACTCGGGCCCTGTTCTGTATGTGATTGCCAGACCTCCACTCATTGCTGAGCCCGGGGGGATTTCCATGCCTCCAAGGCGACTAAAAATGACAACAAATAATGCAAGTCTGAGAAAGAGAGGGAAGTAGGAGAGGAAGGGGGGGGGGCAGAGAGATAGATTCGGGGGAAAAGGGGGCGGGGGGGGGGCAGAGAGACAGATTCGGGGTGGGGGATATAAATGGGTATTCCAGAAGCTGGTAGCTGGATTACGCATGTGATCTCAAACAATTTTCCACAACCTCCTCCTCCTCCCAGAATCTTCTTCTTCTTCTTCTTCTTCTTCTTCTTCTTCTTCTTCTTCTTCTTCTTCTTCTTCTTCTTCTTCTTTCTTCTTCTTCTTCTTCTTCTTCTTCTTCTTCTTCTTCTTCTTCTTCTTCTTCTTCTTCTTCTTCTTCTTCTTCTTCTTCTTCTCTTCTTCTTCTTCTTCTTCTTCTTCTTCTTCTTCTTCTTCTTCTTCTTCTTCTTCTTCTTCTTTTTCTCCTTCTTCTTCTTCTTCTCTTCTTCTTCTTCTTCTTCTTCTTCTTCTTCTTCTTCTTCTTCTTCTTCTTCTTCTTCTTCTTCTTCTTCTTCTTCTTCTTCTTCTTCTTCTTCTTCTTCTTCTTCTTCTTCTTCTTCTTCTTCTTCTTCTTCTTCTTCTTCTTCTTCTTCTTCTTCTTCTTCTTCTTCTTCTTCTTCTTCTTCTTCTTCTTCTTCTTCTTCCTCTTCTGCTTCGTCCTTAGGTAAATCTTCAGATTCCAATATAAATATTTTATATTAGTAACACAAACAATGAAACTGCTCTACTCCAATCAATTAGAGTGTTGTAGTCTGTGATATATATATGTAATTTCTTCTGTATGACTATGCAACATTTATGTGGCATCATTGTACAGCATACCGTTGTTTGGGTGGTGCAGTCTCTTCGTGTAGATTATGAGTGTTCATTCTTACAGTATAAACACAATCCCGTCCTCTATACTCCAAAAATGTCTTGCATCTATCGAACTGCGGCTCAAGTACAGACGTTCCTTTTAACATGGTTCAGAAATGCAATGTCCTTAGATTCTGCGTTGCAGAGGTCCCCTTTCTCTTTCCAAGACAAGAAACTAGTCAGGGTGTGCCAAAATGTAAAACCATCTTTTGACTCATTCAATCACAATCAGGTAAATAAATTTACAATTTTCAGGTTATTCGATATTTGATGAACAGCACTGTGAACAGCCTGAAGTTAAAGCTTAACTGTAAATTTCATTTATGATCTTCACCATGTCTTTCATCACACTAATTAAATAGTTCACTGAAAAACTCTGTTTGTGCGAGGTGGTGCTACCTTTAAAACTAACGTTAGTCTCCCCACGGACCGACTATATACACACTAGCTTACTTCTGATTGGTAGTTTCTGAACCTGTCACCTTAGCACAAGATTAAGGGGGTGTTCCGCAACACTGTTGAAATCGCGTGTTGTATATTTCAGCACGCCAGAGCTTTTAACACTAAAAAAAACATGGACAAACTGGGTTAAACACAACGCCCCTAGAGAGTGCTGCAACCTATGTCACTGGCATTCTCTTTCTCGGAATAAAAATGTAAATGCAAGACAACCCAGAAAGCAAACAACAGAGCGGCACACCCGTAACCTGCACGAAAATAGACCCACCCAACAAACTTGTGAACGATATATGCCTACTTTGTTTGGGGAGACTATCTAAAACCTAACCGGTGCTCTCAGTGGGTCCTTCAATGAATGGACAAAACTTCTGCTGCTCGACGTCCAGTCAACATGCAGCATTTGCTTAAGGCTAAGCCCCTGTTGTAAATATCCACCGAAAGCATTAATTATTTCCAGGGCATCTAGGTATGTGAAGGCAACACAGTTCTTCACTAAATCTTTACCTTCACCGTACCTAACAAAGCAAAGAAGGACAGCATGATTAGTCACGTCAGTTGAATCATCTAGGCTTGTTTTTTCTTGTTTTTTCAGCTTTCAATGAGCAAGTAGATAACAAGCTCAAAAAGAGACTTTTCACTCATCACCACTTTCATTGTCTTCTTCATTGACTTTTCATCTGTTGACTTATACAATGAACAAACAAAAAGTATGGTGGCTTTTCAATCGTGTCTCCAAGCTTTGAGCGCAAATTTCGGCATGTCTGGACTGTATAATGCTTTTTTTTTCTACCGAATTTCTGAACACACCAGGAGCATAGACCATGACGAGTTCTCTGCCAGGTGCGTCAGATAAGTCAAACTTTAAAACGTCCTTGTTGCAATGCCTTATGTTACTTTCCTCTTGTTTGTTTGTATTTTTGCATTTCAAAGAAAGCACAATAATGTATGAAAATAAGCTAGTAGCGTAATTTTGAAAAAAGGGAAATCAGGTATTTTAATCATATGACCTGACATTTAGACCTGGAGAAGATACTCGTGGAAGAAGTCGTTCTGTGAAAACAAAGACGAGCAAGAAAACAAGACGGGTAGAGTGATGATGCCACGTACAACCCAGCAACAAAGCAATGATGTGTAAACAACGTGACGAGTCACATAAAAGACTAAGATGGGTGCAGAGTACAACATCAAGCTGTCTAACATTTCTATAGACAAGACAACATAGACAATTTCTTCCTCAACATTTGTCGATTGATAGACTTGAAAGTTAAGATCAGAACGCACATCAGAGGACTTCGTAATCAACAGGGAACTGATACTATTAGCCACCGGAGGCTGGGATATTGAGGGGAGGGTCTGAGTACCTACGGACATGTCCGGAGTGCAGCGTGATAAGCCAACTAACTAACTAATGTCTGTCGTCACGGTGCACCTGAGAATGACAGTTTTTAAGTGAAGAAGAAGAAGTACCTGAGAATGTTCGCTGCTGCCCCGTACCCAATAGGATGGCAAGGAATCTTTGGCAGAGGCGGCTCTGCGTTTTCCTCGGTGAACCGATAGCCAACCTCTGTGTATAAAACATTTATACACAATTGTAGAGTTTGTCAGGTTTTAAAAATGGTTTTACATTTTTGTAACCAAAAGTAAACATCACAAAGTTTAGAACTGACAGTGAAAACACAACAAACGCACAACGTTGTTGGTGTTTGTTGTTTGCGTTCAGTGGCTATAAACTGCAATGGAAAATCCTGGTTTTTTTGTTGATTTCAAAACTTTGGCTTTGTTCCAGGACCTGAGTTTTACCCTTATTTGTGTGCAGACTGTTGGTTCTTCACCTCTCAAGCAGTTGTACTCCGGCTTGAAAAAAAAAACCTGCTGATATCAGTCTTCAATGTAAGAAAATAAACGCGATAAACGAAACAATTATGATACACTTTAAAAAAAAAACTATAAATAATAATAATAGAGATAAAACGAAACAAGGCTTACAATAAAATATACTGCCAGCAATTGTGTACAAATTTACACTGGATTAAGGTTAAAGATAGGCTTGCTACGGGTCTACTGTGGACCGGACAGTTCCGTTTTCTTCAGATTACCGAACTATCCTGGTTTTGTTTGTTTGTTTGTTTGTTTGTTATAAACATAGAGATTTTGTTTGAAAAAAAAAATATTAAAAAATCTATAAAAAAACTGTTAACTTTGGTTAGTCACAAATTACAATTCTTAGCCTATCATCATATATCACTATCATGGATATCAGTCATGTGTATAAATAACCACGAAGTCACAATTCACGAAAATAAGTAAAACATCATCAGAAGTTCTATACTTATCTAATGTAGAGTTTCAGTTTATTCTTTATTCCAGGCAGTAGAGTGAGTGATGTTTCGGAAGCTGAAATATTTTGGTCATATCAAGAGCAACAACGGATTGGGAAAAATTATAGCAGAAGGCATGGTACCAGGAAGGAGGGCCAGGGGCCGACCGACACGAAGATAGGCACATGATATAAGTGACTCCTTGAGTATGAAAGTACATGAGTCGGGAGAGCTGGCGAGAGACCGAGTTTCTTTCAGGCAGACCGTGATGAGAGCGACGTTCTGCAAGGGACCTGCTACATAGTGATGATAAGAGTAAGTTAGAGACCGTCCACACCACCAAGACCGCAGAACAAGCGATTAACTCACGGTGACACAAAGTGCCATCATTTTGATGAGAATCCTTCAAAAGCAATTCCCAGAATTCCAGTTCAATCGTTCTGATATGATTAGGGCCCCCGACCACAGACAGAGAGGGGTTTTAGAATAACAACAACAAAATCGCGCCCCATGTTGTGGCGAAGTATTTCAGAGAGTAGAAAAACTGTTCCGGACTTCGCTGATATTTCTCTTCTGTCCTACTCACGTAATCAGATGTAAGATAAATTAAATATACTTAATGCGAGATCACACCAGTTAGGTCTAAAAATCTATAAGGCAAAGAGACAGATAGTGAGAATAAATCAGGTAAATAGTAATGTGTTTTCTCTTAATGGTGTCCCACTCCAAGACGTGGAGTCATACATTTGTGTGTGTGCAGTAATATAGATGAAGATAGGGGAACTGGTAGTGATAATCAAATACGAATACAAAAGGTAAGAGGAGCTCTCATAGCACTAGGGAATATTTGGCTTTTGCCAGGGGCCGTAATATAGCCCGGCCATAAATATGGCCTAATGGTTAAACGCTGTTTTTGGGATCTCTCAACGGGTGATCCTCATCCACATGGTGGCACTTGGTGTCTTAAGGTGTTTATCCCTTGTGTGATGTTCTAGTGGGGTAAAAATCTACTACTACTATTACTACTACTACTACTACTACTACTACTACTACTACTACTACTACTACTACTACTACTACTACTACTACTACTACTACTACTACTACTACTACTACTACTACTACTACTACTACTACTACTACCCCAATCCAACAGGAAGTACTGAAGGTTAGACACAAGCGTATGTGGATGGCAGAGTGGCTGGCTCTGCACAGCTTCATGGAATACTGATACGAGGAGGCAGATGTGGTTAAGGCCTTATGGGAGCACGTGTGCAATTCAGAACAGCAAATTGATCATCAAAGTCTGGTGAGAGTGGTGCTGCAAGGAGTGACGAGGAGATCTGCCCCGATACTCGACGCTCAGAGGAAAGGCAAGACGGAAATATAGTCAGACTGCTGCTGGAACCATTGGTGTTGGAACTTTGCGCTGGCTGCTGAAGATGGTGACAGGGTGCTTTTGGGAATGCCGAGAGTGCTGTGATCTCGGTTCTTAGATCAGCTTAGATCAACTCAAACAGGTAGAAATTCCAGATTGCCAGTGTAACATTAAATAACAGTGATGTTAGGGCACACTACGACACGCCACCTAACCTGCTGTCACGACTGAGTGGAGGATGAGATGTTTGCAGCCGTGGTTTAGATGTCAAATAATTAGGTCCACTTCTGTCTTGTTTGTGTCATGACTTTTACATATAATATTATTATGTAGATTTTGTTTGGGTAGACAGAAACTAGATTATAAATATAATTGTTACTCTCAGTAGTAAAGATACAAGCTCCTTTGCTAGTTTTTGTTTTTACAAACCTCGAGCAGTAATTTCAACATGTCTGCAGACGCCAGCCCAAAGCCAGGCTTGAAAGGTTAGAAAATTGCCTCATCAAACTGTGTTTGAGTCTGCCATTTGACAAACTTTTAGAGTGTCTCAGCTCTCTCCTTTGACAATTACATTTGAGTGGTGTGAATTTGTGAATAATTTATTTAGTTAATCTTATTTATTTGGGTAAATCACACACTGACAAGATGCAACAAAATATGCCAGTCAATAAAGTATCCACAATATTTATTGTTTGTGTCTTCTATGTTACAATCTTATGATTTAGCTTGTCTGCTTTTATTTTATAATTTATTTATTACTTATTTAAAGAATTTTAATATTGCGTAATTATACATGGCCTGTCCATACTAAACTTCTGTAATATGGATCATGAATAAATGTAATGAAAAAAAAAGACCTTTAAAGTGTGGTGTTATGAAAGAATGGCAAGAACAGCTAGATTTAATATTGAAAAAAAAAAAATGAAAAGCTAGTAATTTCTAGAAAAACAGAACAAGCAACGCTTCCTAAGTTAATCAGACTGCGAAGGTCAAACACAACTGAAGACCAGATACCATAGACAACACTAAGTTACACAATACTGGGAGGTTTGGTTAAGGGGGAAAGAGTAGGGGGGGGGGGGGAGAGACTAGGAACTGTTCTGATAAATTAGACGCTCAGACATACTGTTATGTCGAGCGCTCCATTGTGGGTCCCAGAGCCCCATTGTGGGGGTGGACGGGAATAGACTTAACTACCCCTAACAAGCATGCCGTAAAAGACGAGTATTTAGGGATATTTACTTAGATTTCGGAGCACACCTGCCTGAGACGTTATGAACCAATAGTCCGCCAACAAATCAAAAAGATTTTTTTTAAAAGATTAGAACGAACAACCCGAATTTTTCGCTGAAGTTTATAGCCGACTAGCTGTATCCGGCCACGAGTTGCTGTGGCCCAGAATGGTGAAATGGAAAAGAAAGAAAATAGCTCTCAGCTGACAGTGTCTGTCATATCCCCCCTCCTCCTCTCCCATCGAACCAGTCATATCACCCTCCCTGAAGGATTGAAAAATCATCCGTGGCGAAATTATTTTAAAAAAATAGTTAAAAAATGAGAACTTTAAATTAATTTTTAAGCTTTCTCAGTTAATAGTGTCTCGATTAGTGTTAAGAAGACGATTCAAAGAAGAAGAAGACGGCGAGATGTTGAATGAAATGATTAGGAGGCTTAAACAAAATTACCCAAATGGTTAAAAACATAATGATGATTTAGTTCTGGCTTTTGGATTAAATAGGTTACTATTCATGGGCCAGCACTCAGTTTATCAGAACAAGCTTTTATGATACTCTGTATGTTGAGTTTTAGTCTATGACACTTACCTTATCTCCCCTGAAGATGCTCCCGTATTTGACGATGACAATGCTCCCAGACACGTTGATGTTGTTCTGTGCTAGCCAGATGTAGTCCTCTACTCGTCCATAACCAGCGTACACCAAGCTGCCCTGCACAAGCAAACTTTCGGTTCTAGACTTTTATCTTGCAATGAGGTTTAAGGTTTAAGGTTTGAGATTAGAACAAGGGATCATCATCATGGCACACGGGTAGAAACCCATAAGTGCTCTGTTCTACTTCTAACTCAAGTCTAAGTCCAAAGTAGCTCAGTGCAGTGCACGGTTCCGTAGCACCGGCGAGGATCCTGAAATATTTTGAGTAAATTTTTAACTACATTTTCCCCGGGCAGCGCCGTTAGGCTACTATTTTCGATTTTCAACTGCAGAGTGATTTTTTTACAGCAGCAAGCAGAGGGTTAAAAGTACCAGTAACAGTCTGATTGTATATCCGTCTCGCCTCTCCCCGGAGTGTCGAGCGTCGGACAGATCCCCTAGTAACTCCTCGCAGTGCCATTCTCCTCAGACCGTAATGATCTATCTGATCGTCGGCACTGTTCATTCGCTCCCAAAAGGGCCCTCACAACATCCAGCTTAGAAGAAGAGATTATACTTGCAATACCCATCTTTTCGTAGGTTCGGTTCTTGGCGGAGCCGGACTTTATTCCAGAATGACCTTGGCTCTAGGTCTAGTCTTGAGTCGGTACCAGGTACAGTCCTAGAAAGTAAAGGCTGCCTCGGTGATGTTGCCTAAATCACTCACCCAGTGCGATAGGTCTACAAAATAAGAATCTTGCTCTATATGCCCAATAAGCCAAAAAGCGTGGAAAAGTATCTTTTACTTTTTTTCAACTTCACTCATCTTCTATATAAATACCTTTCCAAGCAACTGTTAACGCAGTCATTACAAATGTGTCGGACTGGTTACAGTATTTTAATATATATATATAGATCATTTTTTATTTGGAAGATATAATAAAATTGTTTCTGACGTAATTAAATCATGTAAGCACTCTATGTCGGCTCTGTGGCTAAGTCGATGCGAACGCTTCGTAATGATGGGATGCCGGGTTTGATCCCAACTGCGGGCCCTGCGCCTTGCGTTGGTTTCGACATTGGTATCAATAAAGCCGATCGTCCAGGAAGCAGTGGCAAACTACTGGACGTAAATTTACCTAGAAAAAGGGGTTGGTTCTGCAACGTCCTGTAAAGGATACCCAACTAACCTAAGCCCTCTTTGGTTTTTCTAAAATTTTTCTTAGCGTTCGCCGGCTGTAAACTCTCTTAGAAAATCCTTGTTGTTCGACCACTTCTGGATTTTCCCCTTGTTCCAGTATTTGAGCTTTGCCTGAACATCTGTTTGACAGATCTGGTTTATATGTGTGGAGACTGTTGGTTGCTCGACTCTCAGGAAGTTGTACTCTGATCTCGAAAGAAACAACAACACTTAATCAGCTTTGACTACATGCTTGTAAAGGGGTTGATGGGTCTATTCTTGCACTTCCACCGCTTCCCCCAATGGGACCAATGAATTTGTTAAAGGTACTCATTGATTAATATTGAACAGCCTGAAATGTCTATGGTTAAGCACCAGCAAGGAGATCAAAATTAGAATTTTGAGAGCATGCATCTTCCCTGTGGCTACATACGGATGTGAGTCTTGGACTATCTCTCAGTCCTTAAGAAAGAGAATTGGTGCTTTTGAGCTGAAATGCTATAGAAAGATTCTCATTTTATCTTGGACAAAGAAGAGGAGAAATACTGACATCTTAAAAAATCTGAACATCAAGAAAGATTGGCTAATAAACAGCATCCTGTCTCGGAAGCTGAAATATTTTGGTCATATCAAGCGCTACGACGGACTGGAAAAAAATTATAGCAGAAGGCACGGTACCAGGAAAGAGGGGCAGGGGCTGACCGACACGAAGATGGGCACAGGATATAAGTGACTCCTTGAGTATAAAAGTAAACGAGAGCGGGAGAATTGGCGAGAGACCGAGTTTCTTTTAGGCAGACAGTGATGACAGCGACGTTCTGCACAGGATCTGCTACATGATGATGATGACTCCATGATTAATCTCCCCGCTTTAATGTAATATCTAACCATTTATCTCGTACAGTTGTTAATAAAAGTGAATTATCTATGATGTGTTGAAATAAGTAACTGTAGACATCATAAAGTTGTAGCTACATAGGATTAGGTAGGCAGACTCACTGGCATTTTTGCAGACTCACTGCAATACATGGTTCTCGCAAACGTCTGACTTCTCGTAGACCATTCAGAATATCAGTCTGGTCAATGGCTGTCCCTCATTCACAGCATCGTTACCTGCAAGCCGATAAGACTGCTCATTTCCTCGCATGGGTTCGTGCCCTGGCACTTAGTTTTTTTTTATTAGCCCAGTTGCCTTGGCTGTTGACTTTTCTAGTCACAGTCTGTGCGGTATTTAAGGTCCCGACCGCTTTTGAGACTCCAACGACTGTTTTCGGATCCAGCCCTTTTTTTTTTTTATCTTCACGAGCATACTTATTGAGTCACTACACATGATACATATGAAAATACAGCGATAGCCCAATTTGTTTACAAACCAATCAGCACTCGATGGATTGTGTGGTCAATGTTTTGCCTGTCGTCTTTTTAGTAAGTAAAAGTAAGTAAAGGACCCATTTCCACGCCTTTAGGCGTATAGGGCATATAGGGCTAGACCTATATTTTTATAGACCAACGGCACAAGATGGGTGATGTGGTCAGCATCACGCCAGCCGCCGCTACTTCCCGGGACTGCACCCGGTACCCACTCAAGGCTGGGTCGACCTGGGAGCCAAGATCATTTTTTAAGAAAAGTCAGGCCCCGCCAGGGAGCCAACCCACGACCTTCTGATCCGCGGCGCGCGTCTAGCCGCTCCGCCACAGCTAATCCCCGTCATATTGGTTTGATAGCATATTCTGGCACCTAGTATAAGGATAGGCATCTGCCTGGAAACCTTTTTCAATTTGGTTTTGTTTTTCCTAATACCAGTGGACTGCCAACCAGTGAGATCAATGGAGGCGGGTGATATCTACAATACTGAAACTCAAGGGCTTGAAATGGTGTAGAAGACGAAGAACAACAATTGGACCGACAGGTGGTTTTATTTAGGATAATGCGAATTCGCAAACAATATCGTCTGGAAAGATGGAAAGGTGCCAATCAAATGCAAATTAGGTTTACCTCAACAAGCCGATTTGGAGAATAAGCGTTGAATGGCGGGACAACACCTTCATAGTTCGAGAAGTTACTTTCATCCGCCTTGGCGTCGTAGACAACCGTATTGTTACCGTCCAATATGCGAACTGAATTTGGCGTATCATCGCTAGGATACGACAGCAGTGCGTCGTATGGTGTTATCTGTACGTACATACCACTGTCGACAAATATTTTCTTTAGCTGTTTTACCAGCTCAAAGTCTCTTTCTCTTCCGGCGATGTGTGGTTTTTCTGACAGGTATCTGAAACAAAATTAAATGTGTGGTTCTTCGTGCAATAAAAATAGTAAGTGGTAGTAATCGTGTTTTACAACCATCACCACCAGCATCATCATTATCATCATCATCATTATCATCATCATAATTATCATCATCATCATTATCATCATCATCATCATTATCATCATCATCATTATCATCATCATCATTATCATCATCATTAAAAAAAAGTTACTTTCGTATCCTCTGCATGACGTTGCAGAACTAACTCCATAATATTCTGGCTGCTGTGGATTTTATAGGCAGGTTATTCATTCAGTAGTTTGCCATTTCTTTGTGAACGGTCAGCTCTCGGTACCACTGTCGAAACCAACGCAAGACAAACTGTCCGCAGCAGGGATCGAATCCAGCAGCCCGGTATCACGAAGCAAGTTCGCAACGCCTAAGCCACAGATGCCGACATCATCATCATTATCATCATCCAATACAGTGGTTTTCGGCATATATGGTAAAAACCCTAACGCCCCCCCCCCCCACCCTTACCACACCATCACACCCAATTTAGCCCCAAGAATGGGATCAAAAAAGAGGAGGATAGACAGAAGAATCTTGAACTCTATACAAGAACTTGGAAAAAACCATCCACATGAATCAAAGTGTCAAATAACATAAAAGAAACAGTCAACAACAACTGGTAATTTAGTGTCCAAATATCAACTTGATGGTTGCAACTGTTTCGTCTTGATGGCCTGTGCTATTTCATCATCTGATGTAGGACACGAGATCACTCTCCTCGTCAGGCTGGCAGCGACATTGTGGTATTGTGACTTTTCAAGCTGAAAATCTAGATTTGCAAAGATATGTTGAGGGAAATGTCTAAATTTAATGTATTTCTAGCTTGGCCACATGAGGATGCATTGCAAGATACTAGACCGACATTAAATTTATCAAATAATTAAACATAAAAAATAAAAGTATAACAAATAACGACAAGTAAAAATGCACGTAATTCAGAATTGCTTGATACCCCCACCCTGAAACGTCCCAGAACCCCCTTTGAAAACCACTAAATCATAACACCTTTACCAAGGCTTTCCCTATTCACAACTAGTCACAAAGATTCTTGATCCCCAAAGCTCCCTACCTTATGTCAAAGTCAAAGGCAACATGCGAGTTATAAAGTCCATAATAAATTTTGAATAAAAAATAAAAAAACAAATTATTAATAACTTCCCAAATGTTTTAACAGTTACCAAAGTAATATAATAAATTGCATATTAGACAGATTGTCACTGTTCAATTTTAAGTCTGAATGCAACAACATATAGCGTAGAGTGTGACAGAGTATTTTATACGTAAAAGAAGTAAATTATTAACTCTCTTCACAATAAAGGTCGGCTATAGTGCACTCTAATTTGCCTTAGGGAAAACAGCGTGGTGAGGTCCATGGCTCTTCCGTGGTGTTACTCTCATACTAATACTGTCCAAAAAACACGAACACTTTAAAAAAAAAATAATGAAATCACCCACCAGGGAAATCAAGCCTTGGTACCAAAAAAGTATGTATGATAAGCAGATATGTTAAAAGGGTATGCATGCAAAACTCAAGTTCTAAAACAAGACATAGCCCACAGATAGAGGAACCACCGGAACGTTTCGCCGGAGTTGACAGTCGGTGAACGCTAAGAAGAAAAAGAAGAACTGGATTTTATTTATATGAAAAAGTCTCTCTCCATTCCCCATCCGTGAAAGTTCCATTAAGCACGAATTTCAGTAGTTCCCAAAGCGAACCCACGATCTTGAGATCACAAGGCCAGGCTTGTTTGGGATTTTTGAGTACAGAAGAATCTACCCCCTAATAAGCATTTCGAACAAGACGACTCATTAAAAGTTTGCTGAAATCGAATATGTTGGAATGTAAATCTCACTCATCTCATCCTGACCATAGAACAAAACACATTGTGTCAAACCTCCTTCTAATGGTGCCCTTACAGTTTTATCTCTAATCCCCTAGTTATGTCCCTTGGTACTCCACAGGGGGTATTTATTACTCTAGCCCACGAGTGTTGGCAGTCTGCAGAGAAACCATCGACCCGGCTGCTTCGAGATACCAGCTAAGTAATTTTGTGTATTTGTGTGCTACTGTTTGATTTGTGTGTGCTGATGAAGGCTCCATAGCCGCAGCGTTCACTTTTTTTTTTTTTTTTTTTTTTTTTTTTTTGTATTTGTAATATTGTGAAGCTTGCTTACATACTTTTCGTTCGGTTTTATATCTTTTCTTGATATATCTAATGGTGAAGAATAAAAATAAGAAACTACTTCCCCATATAGACAGCGTAAACTACTTCAACAACATTATGTGAGAGTTAAACGATGGAAGCAACAACTATTTCAATGAGGAATTATTATGTGCTTACCTTAGGTTGGCCTCTATTCTGGCAGGATCGATAGCGTCAAGTATTTTCTTGGAGATAGTTGGATCAGCGTCTCTAACAAGCGGCAGCGAAACATCGGGTATCTCTGGTGGGCTGTGATCTTCATTTTGTGTGGCATACCTCCCTATTAGAATGCCAGCAACGAAGCCAACGACGAGAGAAGCTGCAAGGAGCAACAGCAAGCGTGTTTTGCTGATCCCTTCCTTTGGTGAAAATATCAGGTCATTTTCCGACCCAACGTGCAGTCTCCTTGAACTCATGATTTATTGTTAGTTACTGTGGTAGGAAAGGAAACAATAAACTCATGACTTATTGTCCGTTACTGTGGTAGGAAATGAAACAATAAACTCGTGACTTATAGTCCGTTACTGTGGTAGGAAATGAAACAATAAACTCATGACTTATTGTCCGTTACTGTGGTAGGAAAGGAAACAATAAACTCATGACTTATTGTCCGTTACTGTGGTAGGAAAGGAAACAATGAAAGAAGTCGAGCAAGAGAATTCTGACACAGCTATATATAAATCGTGGGCGCTGACGTGGTCTAGTGGCTAGAGGCTCGCCTGCGGATCCGAAGGTCTTCGGGATTCGGGTCCTGACAGTGTCCGGACTTTTTTCCAAACTGACTTTTCTCCCAATTCGACCCAGCCTTGAGTGGTTACCAGGTACAGTCCTGGAAAGTAAACGCGGCCGGCGTGATGCTGACCACATCACCCACCAAGGGCCGTTCGATCTATAAAATATAGCTCTAGCCCTACATATCCAAAACGACTGAAGGCGTTGAAAAGGGTCCTTTACTTACTTTACTATATAAATCCCAGCTTCAACGAACGAAGACAAAAAGTTCCATGTTGCTGTCACCAAATGACATCACTAGAAACAACCACCAACTAAAGGTTTCTGCCATCCCATAACCATTTGGAATTCAGTTATTGACTTCACCTCGTATATGAATGTGCATCATGGACAGTTAGTAGATTAGGGAGACTGCGGACATGCGGTTTTATAGACGAAGGATGAGAATAGCCTGGACAAACAAAAAGAGTAACAATGATTTCCTGAAAGAAACTGACTCACGAAGAGAACTGATTGCACACATCAGGATGAGACAATCTATATTCGTTGGTCATGTGATGAAAAGGAGAAAACTGGAGTATACGGTGACAGTAGGAAAGTTGGAGGGAAGGACAGGCAGAGGGAGGCAGAGAGAAAAGATGCTGGACAGTTTGACATCATTGCATGGATGATCACCTGTGTCAGAGTTGACTGAAAGTACACTAGACAGAAAGTTGTTGATAGACATAACTACCAATGAACCACGGCATGGACTATAAGAAAAAGAAGGTGTTAGTCAATGTAGTAGGAAAGTGGTAATAAACTGCAAATGAAAGTCATGAACAATGATCCAGCCTGGAGCCAATCCTGATTCAATCTGAATTCCCAGACACAAACAAGTAGGAAATAAAAACACTATAAGATTGCACAAAGTACAGCGAAAGGGAAAAAAAATGACCGAAACAAATATAAATTACATAAAAGGCACAATAGGTTGATGATGCATCGATACTCGATTTATCATTCCAATCCTACCATTAAAGAAAATGTGCTTGTTTATTTAAAGAAAATTTTGTTTTGCAGGTTATAGAACTAAATATTTCCTCTTTGTATATATATCTATGTATTTGTCAACTGATTTTTAACTGGCCCAAATCACGGCATACGATACATTTCAATTATTCTCGTTCATATAAAGAACCTATTTTCACACCAGTGGCTCATCGTGCATTTGACGCTTGACGCAGATTTGTATGGACCGACTGGTGATGTGGTCAACATCACGCCGACTGTCTTTGCTTTCTATGACTTCATCTACTGATGATGTGATCAACATCACGCCGACTGTCTTTGCTTTCCATGACTTCATCTACTGGTGATTTGATCTCATCACGCCGACTGTCTTTGCTTTCCAGGACTTCATTAACTGGTGATTTGATCAACATTACGCCGACTGTATTTGCTTTTAAGGAATTTACCTACTGATGATGTGGTCAACATCACTCAATCTGTCTTTGCTTTCCATGACTTCATCTACTGGTGATGTGGTCAACATCACGCCGACAGTCTTTGCTTTCCATGACTTCATCAACTGATGATGTGGTCAACATCACGCCGACTGTCTTTGCTTTCCATGACTTCGTCAACTGATGATGAGGTCAACATCACGGCTACCGTTTTTGCTTTCCATGACTCAGTAAAGAGCTCAGTAAAGAGAAAGGTTTGCCTCTAAACTTCAGCAAATCATCAACACATTTGTACAGATCTTGTTGTAAGGCTGTGGATGGCTTCAGCTTCTAATTAAGGAAATACACACAATAAGATACCACCGCAACTCATACTGAATGTTCCAACTCATACTGAATGTTCCAACTCATACTGAATGTTCCAACTCATACTGAATGTTCCAACTCATACTGAATGTTTCAACTCATACTGAATGTTCCAACTCATAATGAATGTTCCAACTCATACTGAATGTTCCAACTCATACTAAATGTTCCAACTCATACTGAATGTTACAACTCATACTGAACTAACTAACTAACTAACTAACTAACTAACTAACTAACTAACTAACTAACTAACTAACTAACTAACTAACTAACTAACTAACTAACTAACTAACTAACTAACTAACTAACTAACTAACTAACTAACTAACGAGCTAACTAACTAACTAACTAACTAACTAACTAACTAACTAATAACTAACTAACTAACTAACTAATAACTAACTAACTAACAAACTAACAAACTAACTAACTAACTAACTAACTAACTAACTAACTAACTAACTAACTAACTAACTAACTAACTAACTAACTAACTAACTAACTAACTAACTAACTAACTAACTAACTAACTAACTACCTACCTACCTACCTAACTAACTAACTAACTAACTAACTAACTAACTAACTAACTAACTAACTAACTAATTAACTAACTAAATAACTAACTAACTAACCAGCTTATTAAATAACTAACTAACTAACTAATTAATTAACTAACTAACTAACTAACTAACTAACTAACTAACTTACCAACTAACTAACCAACTAACTAACTAGCTAACTAACTAAACAAAGAAACTAACTAATAAGTAACTAACTAATAACTAACTAACTAACTAACTTACTAACTAACTAACTAACTAGCTAACTAACCATCTAACTACCTAGCTAACTAAATAACTAACTAACTAACCAACTAAATAACTAGCTAACTAACTAACTAACCAAACAAACAAACTAACTAATAACTAACTAACTAACTATCTATCTAGCTAACGAGCCAACTAAACAACTAGCTAACTAACTTACTAAACAAACAAACTAACTAACTATTAAGTAACTAATTAAACAACTAATAACTAACTATCTAACTAACTAGCTAACTAACTACCTAAACAAACCAACTAACTAATAACTAACTAACTAATAACTAACTAACTAACTAACTAACTAACTAACTAACTAACTAACTAACTAACTAACTAACTAACTAACTAACTAACTAACTAACTAACTAACTAACTAACTAACTAACTAACTAACTAACTAACTAACTAACTAACTAACTAACTAACTAACTAACTAACTAACTAACTAACTAGCTAACTAACTAACTAACTAACTAACTAACTAATAACTAACTAACTAATAACTAACTAATAACTAACTAGCTAACTAACTAACTAATTAACTAACTAGCTAACTAACTAACTAACTAGCTAACTAACTAACTAATAACTAACTAACTAATAACTAACTAGCTAACTAATAACTAACTAACTAACTAATAACTAACTAAGGGGCTGACTGACTGACTACACATTGTTTTTGGAGAAAACGTTGTCAGGGTGACCTCATCATCCATTGAACTCTCTATTAAAAATCCGAGTCTAGAACAATATGGCAGATGCGCAACTTGTGTGTAAAATGTATTTTGCTTTACTTATTTTGTGGAACTCTTCCTCTTTGTTTGTTTGTTTGTCTGTTAACTTGACTATACTTACAACTAGACGCTGTGCCAACTAAGGTCCCCTCACAGTAAATGGAATTTGCAGAAGCAGAAACAAAGCTTGCCTGTGTCGTTAGCTGTAATGGGAACCAGCTGTTACTGGGTAGAATTATTTCCACTGGCTCAGTCAAACAAGCAGTCTAGCGGCATTGAGGAGATAGATAAAGGCGCCTCTTAGTTTGAACAACCTCGTCTAGCCCCTCTTCAAACCTTCAGATAACACTTCCACTATTAGGCCAAGTGTTGAGGACTCCAGCGCCCTTAGCACTGTTAGTGATAAATTTGTTATGCCTACACACACAACAATAGCCTATACACTTACACACAAAAATACATAGGCACGCACGCATGCATACACGCACACAGACACAAGACGCACACAGGTTGCAACATACAGTGAATTTTATTATATCTTTAGCACCATGAAGGAAATTAACTGCTGAATCATCAGAGAGTTCGTGACGAGACATACAGACTCTGCTTTATAAGCAGTGGGAACAACGAAATGGGGCAACAAAGGGGGTTAATGCGAAATCCGCTTCGGTTGGCTACCTACTGAGTGCAGTGCATGGTGCGGCACAGTGAGCTGTACATTTCGTGGTAATGCTTTTTTGTCTTTGCTCCCTGAGATATGGGTTTTTAAACTGCGTGCTCAGAAAATAGCTAGTGTTTGGTTGTCACTTAATTGACAGTGTGCCTTATACATTAATGAGCATGCACTTGCTGGTTTATTGTGACTGTTGCTTCCATAATTTATAAATATCAGTTCTAGTGAAAGACTTTGTGTTGACATCTCTGGCAGTGGCCGCATGCATTTGATGCGCATGCGAGCTATTGTATTTTATTGTGAGTGATGTCTAACTTTTGCCACGGGACAGAAATAGGCGTTTTGTGGGGCTTTCACTGAGCAATTAGGGAGTGACCCGTTTGTGATAAATAAAGCTTGAACCACGACTGATATGATAACCTGGTCATGCGGTAATTCAGACATTGCATCCATCTGAGAGGTTCTTCTTCTGCTACTTCTTTTTCTTTTTTTCTTCTTCTTCTTCTTTGTCGCTCACCGGCTGTAAATTCCAGCGAAAGTTCCCGGCAGCTCGTACATTTGGACTTTTGGCTCTTACCGGGACCTGAGTTTTGCGTGTACATCCGTTTTATTGGCTTTATTTGTTTGCCATTC